TCATCCTCCTGAGTAGATGGTATTACAGGTGCCTGCCACCACGTCCAGCTATTTTTTTTGTGTTTTTAGTAGAGACAGGGTTTCACCATGTTGCCCATGCTGGTCTCGAGCTTCTGACCTCAAGTGATCTGCCTGCCTTGGCCTCCCAAAGTGCTGGGGTTTCAGGAGTGAACCACTGCATCTGACCTTGTTTTAAATTTTAAATACTCCTCATGTGCGTAGCACAGTGCCAGAGCAGATGCTTAGTAGTCATCATGGTATGGACAGAGGAACATAGATGCCTAGTATTCTGAAAATCTGCCTTGGCTATACCTACTGTCCCACTAGGTCCCCGAAGAGATAACCACTGAAGATATTCCACATATAAAAAAGCCTTCTTTGTTATAATTAGGCCCTTGGTCCTAGGGCTTGTGGTGAGGCAGGCTAGACTATGACAAGCCCTGCCTCTTGGAGTAAAAAAGAAGAGTAGCTCAAAACACTTAAGAAGGTAAGGAGTCCAAGCAAAGGAGATAATCCAAGGAGAGGCTAAGGAGAACCTCCCCTCCAGGAACTCAGATCAGTTTTGTCCTGGAATTCATCTTGAACACTCTGGCTTGTTAATAAGCCCCCCTGTGCCAAATGTTGTTCTTTGCCCTTTTTTCAGTTTGATTTGTTCAGCATAGGCACATAGTAGATAAAACAGAAGAATTCTTGCTCTATGGAAGTCACATTTTAGTGAGTTAATCTTACCCCTTTCATGAATCTTCCCCATGGCTTGCCTTCCCCAAAAGGCTACTCTCACCAAGAAGTCCACCTCTACTATAGTGGTAAAATGGTATCTTTTCTTGTGTTCATTTTGTTCTTGGTCTACATAGTTGCTTTTCTTCCTTTGGTTGGTTGTGTGATGTAACTTTAAAGATGTGGAGGCAGGGAGCCTAGAATTCTTGCAATAGAGACAGATGTTTAGGTTAAAAACAGTGAGGCAAAATTTATGTGTTACTTTTAAGTTTTTGTTGAATACGGGTTGGAAATGTAGTTGATCCAGGGAACTGATGAAAGTAAGATAAAGGAGATACAGAAGAAAGAAAGTAGACAGCTGCTTTGAATCTCTGCTGTGAGCTTTTTTAGATGTTGTGGGGAATGACTTACTGAAAAATATTGGAAGGTAAGTTAGTACTGAAATAACGGGAACTAGCATGGTAAAGTGGAAGCTATATTAGAGTAGGAATCAGTCTAACGAGATTTTCTGATAAGCACCCTGAGCAAGTCATTCTTTCTGTGCAAAGAATGGGAATAAAACTAGATCAGTGAGTGGTTCTCAACACTGCACGTTAAAAGTACCTGGAAGGCTTTTACAATTGAATCAGTCTTTGGGAGGTAGGAATTGGGACTTTTTAAAAAGCTTCCATCAATATTATGTAAAAGTTCCCCCGGTCTAGTTTGAGAACTACAGTGGATCAAAAAGCCTTTCCAACTGTGACATCTTGCATTTTATGAAATAAAATTTAGCGTGTGAACAGCTATAGCTGTGGAAATAAAATAGTAAGGAAGTTGTTGGCATGATTGATGTTTAGAAATTGTTAATTTCAGAAACCTAATGCCTGGCATATCAAAGACAATGACAACCTCCTTCTGCCGTTAGCTTCTTTCATTCCTATCATGTTTTCTGGAATTATTTCTTAGGAATATTTAAGTTTTTCTGCATTTTCTTAATAATTGTTGTTTAATGAGCACCTTTTAAATTAGATTTTCTACACATCCATAGAAAGCTCTACTTTTTGTTTATTGTCACTGAAAAACTCCTTAGCTTGTTAAACCTGACTAATGAATTGGAGGTAAGGATTGGAGCCTGGAAAAATCTCAGCATACTCAGTAACAGTATAGTACTTTAATACCACTAAGCATGTTGAGGACTTTTATAACAGTGGTGAGTCCTCATTATTTCCCAAAGGATAACTTTGAGGGCAGAATTTATACATTCCCATTCATTCCATTATGTAATTAAGAACCGAAGGTAATATAGTTTTACAGAAAAACATTTTCTGTTTGTTTTTACTTTTGAGACAGGGTCTAGCTCTGTCACCCAGGCTGGAATGCAGTGGCATGATCACAGCTTACTGCAGCTTTGACCTGCAGAGCTCAAGTGATCCCCCTGCCTCTGTCTCCTGAGGAGCTGGGACTATAAGCATGGGCCACCATGCCTGGATAAATTTTTTTTTTTTTTTTTTTTACTTTTTGTAGAGTTGGGGTCTTCTTATGTTACCCAGGCTGGTTTGGAACTCCTAGGCTCAAGCAATCCTCCCACCTTGGCCCCCCAAAGTGCTGGAATTACTGGCATTAGCCACTGTGGCCAGAAACATTGTTGGATTTTTTGTTGTTGTTGTTGTTGTTGATTTAATAGTCACAACATCTAAGAGTCCGAAGGAAGAAAAAAACTACCTGATGGTTGAATTCTTTCTTTAATATCCTAGTAAAAGAGTTGTCAAAACAGTGAGCACCTCATTTATCTGGGAACTCACTAACTCTGAGGATGTTTGTTCTACCTTTGGAAAACTTTGATTATTGAAAATATTTTCTTGATGAGGTGCAGTTGCTCATGCCTGTAGTCTAGCATTGGGGGGCTGAAGTGGGAGGATCAGTCAAGCTCAGGAGTTTGAGACCAGCCTGGGCAAGATAGCACCCTTTGTCTCTATTTAAAAAAAAAAAAAATTAGCTGGAAATGGTGGCCGGGGACTGTAGTCCCAGGTACTTGTCAGGGAGGGGTGCTTAGGTGGGAGGATCGCTTGAGCTGGGAGGTGGAGGCTACAGTGAGCCATGATCATGCCACTGCACTCCAGCCTAGGTGACAAAGTGAGACTCTGTCTCAAAAAAAGAAGAACAAGTATTCAGAGAGTTAAAAGTCTGACTCATAATAAAACAAATAATAATATTTGTTTATTCGGCCCCGTAATAAAACAAATCTATTTCTGCTGCTTTATGAAAAATTCCTCAGTTGATTGAAGTTGGTTCAGTCTTATTTTTGTCTTCTCTATTTATTTCTGTTCCCTGGCTTTTTTGTATAGCCTGGTTTTGAGATACTTATGTCTAATTTTCTCATACTCCTTTTGAAATGTGTTAGTACGTAGAATGTGTTTTGGAGAACAGTGGTTTGCTTTTAAAACCAGCCTTCAGTAGAGAATTCCTGCTTTGTTTATACTGTGTCCTCTTTGAGTTAGTTTTAGACAATATAAGTTTTTCTCAGTTGTGCCATACTGTAACCGTTACTCTTGACTACTTACATTTTTAAATTGTCTGATTCTCTGCTCATACCTACTTATTTGTAAATTTATTGTCTTAGATATGTAACTATAGGACTTCATATTTGTTTCTTTTAAATTTTATCTGGTCTGTTAATACTTTTGAATCTTGATCTCGTGAATTAACTATGCTTTTTAGTTGGGATATTTTACAAAATTATACTTTTTTATACATATTTAGATTGTTGACAAGTTAAATAGGCAGACTCATTTTTAGATACTGTATACAAAGCTAAGACTCAGACCTGTGTGCCATACTCTGTTCCTGTTCCCTGTTACCATGAACTTCCCTGTGATTAACAGTGGCATATAAATAAATAAATACTTTAAAGATCTGCTTTCTAAATCTTCTGTACAACCTGGAACATTACTTTTTGCCTTTTCCTAAGATTCATTTGCTTCTCCCTCTTGAGACCCAGTTTAATTGTAACCTCTTCAGAAAGGTCTTCTCTGACCAGCTCATCCCAAGTAGCCCCCCATAATAATGGGGAGCATTGCTATTTTATTACATCATCTAACTTTGTTCATAGACATGATTCTTGTTATTTGTTTCCCCTCAAATAGAATGTAAGCTCCATGAAGTCAGACTGTCTCTGTCACTTAACTCTATATCCCTAGCACCTAAGATAGTGCTTGCCACAGTGGGACCTTAATAGTCAAAGGAAGGAGAATGACTTGTACTCCCTTTTTACCAACCCTCCAGAGATTTTGAGGTATTCCAAGGGTGGTCACACCTCCAGTTGGAAAATCTCTGCCTTGCTTTGATCACTGATTAATCATAACTGTAATGATCTTGCATCTTGCCAATTTTTTCTCCTCATATTTTCCCCCAAAAAAGTTTCCTGAAAGTTGCCTAGATACATATAAAAATGGATAGATTTTTAGATATTTTGTCTCAGATACGAGAAAAGCCTCTGGTTTGGTAAATTAACACCTAATTGGAGTTTCCCAGTAGAAGGACCCTAGGTTCAGTAAGAGTATTTATTTCCCTGATACATGTTTATTGTAAGTGGGGTTAAATGCTTGTTCTCTGTGCACTTATATTGGGTATTATTAGTAAATCATCTCTTTACTAGTTTATTAGTCTTGTCCCCAGACAAGACTATCAGAGTCACCAGTCTGTTTTGTTTTGGGTTTTTTTAAATTTATTTTTTATTTTAAAAAATTGAGACAGGTTTTAGTGTGTTGCTCAGGCTGGTCTCAAACTCCTGGGCTCAAGCGATCCTCCTGCCTTGGCCTTCCAAAGTGCTGGGATTACAGGCATGAGCCACCATGCCCAGCCACCAGTCTGTTTTTTGAGGACTCCATCTTTATTTGAAAAATAAGATATTCTTCAAAGCGCATTGACATCGCAACGATTCAGTTTATATATTCTTTTAGTTTGGTTTAAAATTAACTATCTTTTTTGTGTTGTGGAGCTAAATGAACTATGTTGTGATATAGAAGCTAGAAGCTTCTCTCAGATTCTGAAAAGCTTTTCCATATCCATTTATTGTTAAGTACAAGTGATCCCTGTTCCCATCTGTTGGTAGACAGAATTGGTGCCATTTTTTTCTTCTAACACCACGTTTTTTATTTGTCTATGAAATTTTGTAATTTGGAAGCCCCTACATAAAAAAGCATCTGTATGACTTAATATGTATTCTGAAAAGAACTGTGGTTGTTGATGCATTTTTTTCAAAACGTGTTTTTTTGTTTCAATATTATGTCTTTTTTCCCTTCCAGAGAATGGATCTTGGAGAATGTCTGAAAGTCCATGACCTGGCTTTAAGAGCGGATTATGAAATTGCATCCAAAGAACAAGATTTTTTCTTTGAACTTGATGTATGTGATTTTGCTTTAATGGTTTGTTATCTTTTGCTGTAAAACATGTGGATTAATATCTCTTAATAAGAAAAACTCTTAGCAGTTTATCCTCTGTGGTTATATGAAGGGTAAGACTCAAGTAAGATCATGTACTTTCTTGACAACTCTTAAAAATATGAGGTGAGACTGTATTTTAAGAAAATGTGTAAAAGTCATATGATTCATATGTTCTTTTGAAAATTAAGCATATTCTTCCCAACATAGTAGTAATGATTAAGGAAATATCAAGCAAATGTAAGCAACTAATTAATAGTGTATATAAGGACATATCTTTAGTAATATACTGAGTTTTTACATTCATATTTATTTTTATATCTACTTATATATATACATGTATGTATAGTTGGCCCCCCATATCTGTCGTGGAATCTGTAGAAGGAACCAACTGGGGATTGTAAATATTTAGCAGAAGAAAGGGATTGTTGCATCTGTACTGAACATGTACAGACATTTTGTTCTTGTTGTTATTCCCCAAACATTACAGTATAACTGTTTACGTAGCATTTACATTGTGTTAGGTATTATAAGTAATCTGGAGACAATTTAAAGTATATGAGAGGTTGTGTAATGGGAGATTATATGCAAATATTACATCATTTTATATTAAAAAATGCACATTCATGGATTTTGGTATCCACTGGGTATCCTGGAATCAATCTCGCACAAGATAGTGAGGGACGGCCGGGCGCGGTGGCTCAAGCCTGTAATCCCAGCACTTTGGGAGGCCGAGACGGGCGGATCACGAGGTCAGGAGATCGAGACCATCCTGGCTAACACGGTGAAACCCCGTCTCTACTAAAAAATACAAAAAACTAGCCGGGCGTGGTGGTGGGCGCCTGTAGTCCCAGCTACTCGGGAGGCTGAGGCAGGAGAATGGCGTAAACCCGGGAGGCGGAGCTTGCAGTGAGCTGAGATCCGACCACTGCACTCCAGCCTGGGCAACAGAGCCAGACTCCGTCTCAAAAAAAAAAAAAAAAAAAAAGATAGTGAGGGACATGTGTACAGGTGTTTGGGGGAATTTTTTTTTTTTTTTTTTTTTTTT